TTTGTTGTGTGTGTGTGTGTGTGCGTGTTGTACGTATTTATAATGTTGTGTGGTGTGTGTGTTTTGCGTGTGTGGGTGTAAGTGTTTGTGTGTGTGTGTGTGTGTGTGATGTTGTTTAAGTGTATGTGCCGTGTTTAAGTGTTTGTTGTGTGTGTGTTTAGTGTGTGTGTGTATGTGTGTGCGTGTGTGTGAGTGTGTGTGTGTGCACGATGTACATACCGTCGAAGGACAATCATTTGTGCAATTCAGGTGTATAGCACATCTGTGTGAACCATTTAACTCGTGCTGATTCGAGGAAAGAAACATGATAACTGTAAAAAAATAAAAATAAATATAGCACGAGGAATATGGCAAACACAATCACACACACACACACACACACACACACACACACACACACACACACAACACAACACAAACTCAAACACACACACACACACTCACACACACACACACACACACACACACACACACACACACACACACACACACACACACACACACACACGCACACACACACACACACACACACACACACACTCACACACACACACACACATGAATACGCACACACGAAGAGAGAGAGAGAGAGCGATATGGTATTTTGTATATGTATATGTGTGTGTGTGTGTGTGTGTGTGTGTGTGAAGATAGGGATTCTTATCAAAATAAAAGCAAAATGCGTGGGTACCAAAATCCACATAATTATTGCTTATCAATTATGCAAATGACCCAAAAATAGACTACAATTTACATGATTGTAATAATACCAGTAAAAAAAGGGGGCAATTTTTGCATGGATAATCTTATATCAAATTTGTAATTTTGCAAACATTCTTTTTTTTTTCCATAGACGCAACGAAGAACATTAAGATAAATTTTTAAAAATCAGAATTTGTCTATTCTTTGTCATATTTTTTTCTATCTTTATTTTTATATTACATATATATATATATATATATATATATATATATATATATATATATATATATATATTATATATATATTTTTTTATTTTTTTTTTTTTTTTTCCGAATAATGACTTAAATTTCATAGTAATAAAATCATTTTAAAAATTCACTTTCCTTGACACGTACATATTTTCCAAATGAGTTAATCTGTAGATAAATTAAAAGATAAGGAGAAATGGGTTTTTCACTGATAACAAACAAGAAATTTAACGAAATACTAGATATGACCTTCCTTTTTTTTTTTTTTTTTTTTTTTTTTTTTTTTTTTTTTTTTTTTTTTTTTTTTTTTTTTTTGGCTTCGTCAGGATGGCAAGTTTGAGAACATTGATCGGGTAAATATTGGGTTCTTCCTTACCCTCTCCCCCTCTTCCTTGTCCTCTTTCTCCTGCTTCCTTCTTCTCCTTCTCCACTTCCTTCTCTTCCATCTCATATTTCTTCTTCTTCTTCTCCTTCTCTTCTTTCTTTCCCTTCTTCTCTTCCTTCTTTTCCATCTCCTCTTCATTCGTCCCTTCCTCCTCTTCTTTTTTCCCTCATCTTCTTCCTTTTCCCCCTCCTTCTCTTCCTTCATCCTCTCCTCCTATTCCTTCTTTCCCTCCTCCGCTTCCTTCACCCTTCCTCCTCCTCTTCCTTCTTCTCTTTGAATCTGCCTCTTCCTTCTCCTCCTCCTCTTCCTTCTTTCCTTCCTCTCTTCCTTCCTCCTCCTCCTTCTTCCTTCTTTCCCTCCTTCTCTTCCTTCACCCTCTCCACCTCCTCTTCCTCCTTCTCTTCCTCCTATTCCTTCTTCTCCTCCTCTTCTCTTTGACTCCGCCTCGCTCGGCGGACCCTGTGACCCCAGACGCCTTACCCCACCTTTCTCGCCCCCCCCCCCCGCCTCATCCCCGCCCCCCGCCTCCTTCTTTCTTTTCTTCCTTCTCTTTGTCACGTCTCTTCTTCTTTCCACCTCTTTTTCTTCCTCTTCTTCTTCTTCCATTTTCTTTTCTCATTCCTATCCCATCCTTCTTTTTCTTATTTGTATTCTTCGTTGTCTTCTTCGTATTCTTTTTTTTTCCTTCTTCCTCTTTCTCATGTTTTTCTTAATTTTCCTATTTCCTTTTCTATTCTATTTTCTATTCTTTCCTTTTCTCACCTCATTCTTCTTCCCTTCGTTTTCTATCCTCTACTCTATCCCTCTCCTTCCGTCCCCTAATCTCTCTCTCTCTCTCTCTCTCTCTCTCTCTCTCTCTCTCTCTCTCTCTCTCTCTCTCTCTCTCTCTCTCTCTCTCTCTCTCTCTCTCTCTCTCTCTCTCTCTCTCTCTCTCTCTCTCTCTCTCTCCTCTCTCCTCTCACATCTTCCTTTTATCCTCTCTTCTCCCTCTCTCTATCCTCGCACTTCACCCACTCCTTTTATTCCATCTTTCTTCTTTCCCTCTTAGTCTCATTTTCTTATTATTCCTCTCCTTCTCTCTGTCCCATTTTCCTTCTTTTCTCTCTCAATCTCCTTATTCTCCTTCTCCCTTCCCCTCTGTCCTCTTGTCTCTCTCCCTTCTCCCTTCTCTCTCCTCTCTCTCTGCCCTTCTCCCTGTCCTCTCCCTCTATTCCTCTCCCTTTCTTCTCCCTTCCCTTCCCCTCTCCTTTCTACTTTCCTTTCTCCCTTCTTCTCTCCTGTCTTCTCTCCCTTTCTTCTCCCTTCCCTCTCCCTTCTATCTCCCTTCCTCCCTTTCCTGTCTACCTATCCTTCTCCTTCTCCCTGTCTCTCTTCCTTCCTTCTCCCTGTCTTCTCTTCTCGCCTTCCTTCTCCCTGTCCTCTCCCTCGGTTTATAAACAAGCGCATCTGGCGCTGGAAAGGGTGAAGGGGGGGAGGGGAGGGGGGGGGGTAGAAGGTAGGGGGGGAATTGATAAGAAGAGGGGGGAGGCCGGAGTTGATGACGTCATTGGTCCTGCCAACGCCCCCACACGGTCAGCATGACACAGCACATGTTCAACGGGAGGGGGGTGTGGAGGGGGAGGGGATGGAGGATGGGGAGGATGGATTGGACTATAGTTTTAACATGGGGAGGAGGAAGGAGGGAGAGGAGGGGCGGAAGGAGGGGGGGACGGGGGATTGGACATGGGGGGGAAGTGTGAGGGGGTTTACCTTGGGAGGGAGGGGATGGGAGGGGCAGGACCAGGGGGGGGAGGGAAGAGAAAGGGCGGTTTTACCATGGGAGGGAAGGAAGGGAGGGGAACCATGGGGAGGGAGGGGGAGCGGGCTGGGTCAAGGGGAGAGGAAGAAGGAGGGGGGGAGGACAGAGGAAGAATGGAGGGATGGGGAAGGTGGGGAGGAGGGAGTAAAAAGGGAGGGGCAGGACATGAGGAAGAAGGAGGGAGGGGGCAGGACAATCGAGGGGCGATAAGGAGGAAGGAAGGAGAAAGTAACGTGATGTCGGAGGAAGAGAGAAAAGTTATTATTCGAACGAAGGAGAGGTGGCATAATCGGTAAGCAGAAGAATCTGGAGAGAAAGATTTCGGGAGAGAAGATCGAAGGAGGAAGTAGAGAGAAATAGACAGAGGAGCTAGAAGGCAAGGACTCAATGAGGTAGCTAGAACGGAGGAGGAGGAAGAGGAAGAGAAGCATGGAGCATGTGTCTGGCGCAATGTAGGTGGCAAGCTGAGGAGAAGGGGCGAACTGGCGAGGGTGCGAGGGAAGGGAGCGAAGTGGGAGGGGGGAGCGCCTGGTGGCAGCCGAGGTGAGAAGCGCGGTAAGGGGACAGCGCGGTCTCAGGCTCTTGGTGTACGAGAGGCCGAGATAACCCGGAGCGGAAGTATTGACGGCTGACCATTGGGCTCCGAGGGTTCTGCTGGAAGAGGATGCGAGGTGAGGGAGAAGGGAGCGGGAAAGAGTTGGCAGATAGGGGAAGGGGGAGGGGCATAGGAGCCGGGAGGGACGGAGAAGGAGGGTAGCAGTAAGGCTAGGGGGACAGGTAGTGGTGACGAAGGGGAGGGGGGGAGGGAGTGGGGTAGGCATCAGTATACAGCTAGTTGCGTTATCCAAAACTTTCCTAATTCGCTTATAAAATACACATGAAATATTGAATCTTATATAAGGTGATGTGTACACCTGTATCATACATATATACATAATCATCCTTATGAACATACATAAACATAATTGGAAATAAAATTGTCAAACACAGATTTTAGAAGATTTATACAAATTCTATTTTAGAACGAAATAAACCACAAATGACTAGACGATAGCAAATTAATCCATATACAAATACATACTTACATACATATCTTACCAATAGATGTACAGTATCCATATACAGATTTAAAAAAAAATCGCTGAACAACAAACAAAGATAAAACAAACAAAAAATATCACTTAGTTGACCAAAAGAACTAAAAGAAAAAGAAAATATGATAAAAATATGTTGTGATATCCTACAGTGCGTTTTGCAAGGCCAAGAAAATGAAGAAAGGAGGGTAAAAGTAGTCATTATGAAACAGCCTTGCAATAGCAACAATATGGAGAATGATAACCGCAATAATAACGACAACTACAACAACAGCAGTAAAAACAACAAGTTATAATGATGATATTAATGATAATAACAATAACAATGACAGTAATGATAATAATAGTAGTGACAATAATAATGATAATAATATTAATACCAATAATAATTGTAATAGTAATAATAACAATGATAAAGATAACGATAATAATAATAATAATAATGATAATAATAATGATAATATAATTAGATATAATAACAAAGACAATAATATTGATGATATAATATCAAATATGATGACATAATGATAAGATAATGATGATCATAATGATACTAATGAAAAAATGATAATCATAACAATAAAATAATTTTTGTTAGAATTAGCATTACCATCATCATCACCATCATTACTATTAGCATCATAACACCAGCTAAGGACGTAATAACGCCCAAAAAAGATATGATAACGAAATACCAGTAATAAATCAATGTAATATTCTGTACACCTGCTGTATGTAAGACGTAGTAACTTTACATAGGACTGAGTCATATC